GGGGGTGGGAGGGCTGCTTCTGCCATCCTTCCTCCAGGCTGTGGCCAGTCCCGCAGACTGGAAGGCCCTGACTGGTCCCAGTCGATCTGCCCTGAGGCAGCCTGGTTTCCCGGTCCGGCTTCTCCTGGTCACCCTCCTTAAAGCGAGTTCTGACTCGGGGACTCACAGCAGCGCCTGTTGCTCTCTGCTCCCTTGTGTGATTTCTTATCCCTAAAGGGGCTCCAGCATTTTAATTCCACTCTTATTTCTTGTTCTCCCTGGCCAACGTCCTGGTCCTGGTTAGAGGCAAAAGCATCCATAACTCCACCTAGTTTTGGAGGGAAGGATATGGAAACCTTTCTACATTGCCCATGCTGTACCCGGCTCCCCTTCCTCAAGACCACCAGCCCTCTAGGTGGCATCATTTGCCCCTGGGCCTTTGGGGCTGTGTGCAAAAAAACCCTGTCATAGAGGGGATACTGGACTGTTTGTGAGCCCAAAGTCAGAGGGTATCGTCTTGACCGTTTGTGCCTTGGAGGAGGGGGAAGGCATGATTACATGGTCCACACCTCCCTGCAGCATCACTGTGGCTTCCTGGGTGACAGTGTCCTAGACTTGGCTCCTCTACCTTGCCCCCCTGGAATGGGCTTTGGTTGGGTGGGAGCTGAGCCCTCACTGGTTCCTCTTCCCTCTTCCCAGGCCTAGCCAGCAGCCCTGAGTGTGCTTGTGGTCGGAGCCACTTCACGTGTGCAGTGAGTGCCCTCGGCGAGTGTACCTGCATCCCCGCCCAGTGGCAGTGTGATGGAGACAACGACTGCGGGGACCACAGCGATGAGGACGGATGTAGTAAGAACCTCCCCACGGGACGCTGGGAAGTGGTAGAAGGTGTGAGGGAGCAAGGACAGGTGTGTTGGCGTGTTCTGTGCATCAGCTGTGTCAGACTCAGAGTTGGACTCTCGAGGGTGACAGATATTAACAGATGGGTGGTTTCTTCACAATATATATGGCTTCAGCCCTCCCGTATTCCCCGTATTTCCATGCATGTATGGCCAATAAAACAAACTTTGAAACAAGTACAGGAGAAAACATTTGAGATTACAGGTGGTCTCTTTAATTAAATAGATCTCTCTGTATTTATGTGAATATGTGTATCTGTATTGCATATTTGTGCATTTTAAAATGTGCATACTATACGTGGATGCCGAGTATTTCTGTGTTTCTTTTGTTGGTATTCTGTGTAATCACACATTTTCAAATAACATAAACTTTGTAAGAAATCACATATTCTCATGAAATCTCCCCTTTCCCCTAGTGTCGTAACATGCACAACAGGCTAGGGTATCCTGTCTTGGTTATGTAGTAATATTACTCCTGAGCCAGTTACTTGTCTGGATTCAGGGGTGCAGTCTCCACCCTGCAGCACCTATATCTGAGGGAGGCTAATTAGTCTCGTAAGAGTGAAGCTACAACCTGGACCTTATTAACCCTAACGAGTTTAGCTAATTGTGATGATGGTAAGTGGCTCACTTTCATGTAGCACTTTGGAGGTCTCAAAAGACCTGCTGAGTCAATTATAATTATCCCCATTGTACAGTCAAAGAGCCTGTAGCTCAGAGAGGGTAACTGGCTTGTGTGATAAGTGATGAATTCTCGAACTTGAAATTCAGCCCAGGTGTGTCAATCATCATTTGATAAGAGGAAATGGGGAAAAATACTTTTGTTTGTCTTTTCATGTTTTCCTTAACTGCTTTCCTAGTGGTTTTGAGCTCCTTGGGCTCTTCTGCCTTCTGAATCCCTGACCACCACTCCCTGAGAAAGCTCTGGCTTCTTAACTGCTGTTTCTGCTTGGTTCTCCATCAGCTGGGGGCAGGCGTAGGGGTCTGTGAGGAAGGACTGTAATTCAGACAGGGAGTTAGCAAAGGATTTCTGGCCCGGTTGAGCCTACCTGAGTAAGTGCACCAGACTGACACTTGTCTCTCTTCTTTTGCCGGGACTCAGTGCTACCCACCTGCTCCCCTCTTGACTTTCACTGTGACAATGGCAAGTGCATCCGCCGCTCCTGGGTGTGTGACGGGGACAATGACTGTGAGGACGACTCGGACGAGCAGGACTGTCGTGAGTGCTGGCGGGGCTGGGCAGGTTCCATCAAGCTCTGCTGGGAAACCATTTTCAATCAGAGAATGAGGCCGCAGGGGCTTCCCTGGCAGTCCAGAGGTAGATACTTGGCCTTCCAATGCAAGGGGGTACAGGTTCAATCCATGGTTGGGGAGCTAAGATCCCACATGCCTCATGGCCAAAAAATCCAAAACATAAAACAGAAGCAGTATTGCAACAAATTCAATAAAGACTTAGAAAAAAAAAAAAGAAAGAAAAAGAAAATGATGCCCCAGCCCGTGGTCTTTGGTTCTTGTCCTTTCCACCTCTTCTCTTGGTCAGATAAGCCCCTGGAGACAGCCACCTCCTAGGCTCCCTTGGGAAGCATCAGAGCTGCTTGGCTGCTCTGCTCTGCAAGGCTTTCTGCTGGGCTCCCAGGCGCTGGCCCCACTGCCTGTAGCAGCCTGACCGCTCTGTGCCCACAGCCCCGCGGGAGTGTGAGGAAGACGAGTTCCCCTGCCAGAACGGCTACTGCATCCGGAGCCTGTGGCACTGCGATGGTGACAACGACTGTGGTGACAACAGCGATGAGCAGTGTGGTGAGCGGTGCTCCGGGGAGGCAGGCGGGGTGGCTGGTGGATGGCATGGCCATGGGGGAAAGTGCAGCGGGGGCTCTAGCACTGCCCGAACCTTGAACTGCCCAGGTGCCTGGAGCAGCTGGAGGAGGGCAGGAGGGGCAGAGCAGCCAGATGCCCCAGGAGCCACAGCATAGGAGCCTGAGGCCCAGTCTCTCCAGGGCTTCGGCTTGCCCCTCGGGAGTCTGCACCGAATCTGTGGTGTCTTGCGGGGTCTGGGTCAGACTCCCAGGGGCAGTGAGGATGGGAGTCAGGGAGGATTGCAGGAGGGTTGCCGGTGGGGCTCCTGCACGATTGTTGTCCCACTGCGTCCCCCCAGACATGCGCAAGTGCTCCGACAAGGAATTCCGCTGCAGTGATGGAAGCTGTATTGCTGAGCACTGGTACTGCGATGGTGACACTGACTGCAAAGATGGCTCTGACGAGGAGAGCTGTCGTGAGTGGCCCCAGAACTCAGGCTACATCCATGGGCTGAGGGCCAGGCTGAGGAGTGCATGAACAGTGGGCAAGGAGTGTGGGTTCTTAAGAAGCGGCTCTTCCTAGGTTGAGCCAGGGAGGGAACAGGTTCCCCAGGTGGGAAGGGAGGTCTCCCTTTGGTCCACCAGAATATGGGAGTCTGTAAGGGCCATCCCAAATGAAACCTGGTTTCTTTGTCTGAGCATCTTGCTCCTTTGAGGAGTCAGGGCCCCTCTCCTCTGTCCAGGACTGAGTGTATTCCCCTCCCCGCCCCTGCCCTCCTTCCAGCCTCGGCAGTGCCAGTGCCCCCCTGCAACCTGGAGGAGTTTCAGTGTGCCTACGGCCGCTGCATCCTCGATATCTACCACTGCGATGGTGATGATGACTGCGGAGACTGGTCGGACGAGTCTGACTGCTGTGAGTGCTCTGGCCAGCTGGGTGGGGGAGGGGAGGCCAGGCTGGGAGGAGCTCCTGGGGTGGCAAGGCACAGGTGCCACCTGGGTCAGGAGCTCAGGGGACAAGCTTGTGGATTCCCTGGTCCCTACTGAGCAAAGATAGAAGAGCCTGGGTGCTGGGGCTGTGGCTTTCTGGTCTGCCATGGGACACTGGGTGCAGGGACTAGCTAGAGACAGAAGCCTATCGTGTTTCCGCAGCCTCCCACCAGCCCTGCCGCTCTGGGGAGTTCATGTGTGACAGTGGCCTGTGCATAAACGCGGGCTGGCGCTGTGATGGCGACGCGGACTGTGATGACCAATCTGATGAGCGCAACTGCAGTGAGTGGGGGGCGGTGCCAAAGGCCTGGGCTGGAAGTAGAGAGAGGCCACCACCGGTAAAGCTTGAAGACAGGACAGGACCACCATGTACAGTCGTGTAGGTTGGGCAAGGGCAAGAAGGG